AATTGCCGACGGGTTAAAACAGGAAAACTTCAAAATCGACTTCGAAACTCAAAAAAGACTTCGAAGCTCAAAAAAGACTTACCTTAATGGCTTCTCTTTCCACATATACTACCATATTATTGTCTTATAACTCCATTTTATAAGTTTTGTGAGGTTTTGATTTTTTGAATTTGGAGATGTTTTGGAGGATTTAAGAAGATGAAAAAGATAGGGTTAATTGGGTTGTCGCGGCAGTTACGAGCACGTACGGTGGCGTTCGGCGTCGGCGGCGGCGGTGAGGGTTGGAGAGGAGAAGAAATGGTGGAAGTTTTTTTTTTTTTTACAACAAAGGGTTTTTTTTTCTTTTTTTTATTTGGTTTTTGAATAGGTAATTTCTAAAAAAAATTGATATAATTGATATTTTGTATGAAAGGGTGTTTTTGTACTTTTCTTTTTATTTTGGTATTAAAGTAAGAAAAAACTGATAAATATGTACTCAATTTTGGTTTTAAACTTGGTAGTATTCAAGTAAGCAAAAGTTGGGATTTAAAATAGTTGCCCCCTTTAACTTCAAATCTCATACAAAAACCCATTAATTAAAAATATGCATCACATTTTAACATAATAATTAGTAAATAATACAAAAACTATATATACAGGGTCGAGTCTATGGCCGTGTACATATAAACCAGTCCCCATCCTCGTATCCGGTCAAACTTTTTTTGTCAATCCCTCTCCCCGCCACATACTTTTTTCGTGGCGGGTGATACCTGGGAATTTCAGGTCGGGGAGATGCGGGAATCCATCGGGGCGGGCAACTTGTCATCCCTGGTTGTGAGTTTCTTTTGGCATTAGGTTAAGTTTGGTTACATTTTTTATTAAAATATCCACTTTTATTAAACTTATGTGAATTAAATATGAAGACTGAAAATGAGGGCTTACAAAAATTAAATAAGTTCAAGTGAAAGTACAAAAATAGGAGAAGCAGTTAAAAAGCATCACCTGGAGATTTTCCCAGAATTGCTAATCTACTTTAACTTATTTTTAAAAGCTAAAGCTAAAGCAGCTTCGGTACTTGTTTTTAAGTTAAAAGCCTACATTTGATTACTTCTAGCATTTGAACGCACCAGTATATATACAAGGAAAAGAAAGAAACTTATTATACTTATTATTTTTAATTAGCATATTAAAATATATGAAATTAAATTACTGAAATGGCTCTGGTTCCATTCAATATACACCACCTTCAGCAACATATATATAAACCGGCCACTAATGTAACGAAAATCTGGATTGAACTAAGAGCCCGTTTAGCTAGACGCATTTTAAATAGTTGATAAACCCTTACGTATGATAAACTGTTTTAATAGCTGATAAGTTGTTAGAATTAAAAGTATTTGGATAATGATCTTATAAGCTATTTTTATTTATCGTAAGATCTTAAATAAAAAAGTAGGGTAGTACTTTAAAAAAATATATTAAAAGCTCTGCAATAGCTTACTTTGAGAATCTTTAAGATTTATTTTAGAAAAAATACAAACACTTTAAAAGAAGTTATAAGCTCTAAAACATCTAATGATTAATCTCGTTTTAGTAGGTTATAGTTTTAGCCAAATCGGAGGGCTTAACTCCATAGTTTACTTGGATATCTACAGTAATCTACTATAAAATGATTCATTCTTTAATTCGGACCTATATTAGTATATATACTTGTGCA